AAAACACACAGATGGATGGTTTCTTAACTGGTGAACAGATGGAGATCTCATCCTCTCCTTCGGCGACCTATATGCTCAAGCTACATAAGATACAAACAATGAGCTCACCTCTTGTTGCATATTTATTCCAGACTGCATAGACCTCCGATTGGACTTTCCCAGGATGAGTTCCTTCAGAAATAAGTTACAATGACATGAGAGAAGACGAACCTCTCTTTCAGAAATCAAATTTGGATGATTTTTCCTGGGTGTCNAAGACGAACCTCTCTTTCAGAAATCAAATTTGGATGATTTTTCCTGGGTGTCTGGAATGTGGTGTTCTTTACTATCGAACCTTCCTCGTCAACAGTTGATTGGAACGTTGTTACATTATTATTTATGAACTCTAGAATCTCCGTGTAGACAACATTTTGATGAAAGAGAGATACCTATGTTCTTTGCAGCAAGCTTGTGCTTGTACTCATTATGTGTACAACGTTCTTCCTCGATTAAGTTCCTATAAACCCTGAACAAGTAGATTTATATCAAACAAAACACAATTTCAAACCTGATAACCTGTAATGAAAATATTTTGAAGAAATACATCGAGTTGTAGAAGACAGCTCTCTGAAAATCCATACTCAATCCTAGTTCATTCAAGCGTTCAATGAACGGTACTGGAAGAAGGATGAACGAGCTGTTGGTATTACTATATGTAATACCTGGCACAGGATCACAGCAAGGATCCAACGTTTCAAATATATGAGTGTCTTTCTTTGGCTTGTAAAAGTTAAGATATTGAAGGCAACTCCGTATATTCTTCCTGCAGCTTTCAATATTCTCCCTATGGGGTATATGAATGAATAGAAGAGATGAGCTAGAAAATTACTCTGGGAATAAATCCCTACTGATCCCTTCTATGACGATTGAAGAAAAAACCTTTGAGAGACCCCCAATCTGCCGTCTGAAACTGATGCTAATTTTAGAATAAAAAAATTCAAAAACTGACGAAGACCGAGGGAGTTCATTTGTGATTTTTCGTTTTGCGACTGCACTGAAGTTTTCAAAGTACTT